TAGAACGGATTCAATCTCGTTATATTCTAAGTCATTTACCTTTATTTTGCATGTGTAGGAAGTGACGTGCTCATTTGGATCGGTGGTCCCATTGTATTTGGGGATGTCTGGCATATGGAATTCTTAGGAATGGGCTTCAGAGCTGCACTTTGAGGGAAAGGCTTCTGTACGAACTTCTTCGAATCCAAACCCTTTAGGATCGAGGGTGCCCCCGGTATTTAGTCAACTCGTGAGTTGTATGTTTCTACCTTTTTGTCATTAGCCTCGATTTTCTTTTCACCTGATTCGATCCGTTTAGTGAGATCTTCAATTATCTTCATAATGGCGGGGTCAGTCCCCGATACATTGGCATTCGATTTCTCCGGTACGGGCTCGACTCTATCAACAACTTCTTGTGATGTTTCGAGCTCGATTCTGCTTGGTGCTCGATTCTGATTTTGGAGTTGCACTATTGCAGCTTGTTGAGTCTGCAACATTTTGAATATCATTCGAAGGCTAATTCCGCCTTTCCTGCCGCTATGTGCGTTCTGATCGATTGCTCGGGCATCTCTGCAGACACTATTTCCAGGGTCAACGCCTAGATTTGCATGTAGGGCGACGTGCCAACTGACATCGACGGTGTCTGCGATCGGTACTTCCTCGTGGCCAGCTTGAGGCACTTCGATCTCCGGGGCGGCTACATTATCGTTTTCTCCATGGAAACTAAAGCCTTCATCAGCGTGAGTGGGTAATACTTGAGAGTTAGACATGCTGATCCTGAAATCAAAATCACTTACTAGAAAAAGCGTAAAGTAGTGTGTGTTACAAGAATTAATACCAGGCAATCACTATTATCCTTAGCCCCATGGTAGGCGCCAGACTGTTTACCCTAAAAACTGGATAACAATTAAACTTATAATATGGTTTTAAGGATACATGATTTCACCTAATCCAATTGATAAATGCAATGATTAGTAATGGAAATTGACAATAAAATAAAACAAACCAGTGTTTGAATAGAATTCAGCCCTCATGCATGAATACCCTCGAGCTAGTTGTTTAAGAACAACTAAAATGTAACAAACTGATGAACAAGAGAATGAAAATTAAAGAGAGAATATTGTATTGCTTTGATCTGCGTGAATGTGAAGTGTCTACAAAATGATTATAACCTTCTTTATATAATAGAGGAATCCTATCTATGGTACAATTCTAATTACGGAAGTAAATTCCACGATTAGCCTAAAAAATCGCTATTGATTTGATCTGTTCCAGGATCTCCGCCGTGATTTTCAACCGGTTACGGATATCTCGCTTTTCCGTTATTGCGCTTTGCTCGAAGTATGTCATATTTGGTCTCGATTGTTGCTGGCCTCGATTTCGACAGGCACCTCGATTTTCGAACTCGATACCTTGTATGAAGTAAATGTATTGTCTTTACAAGAATGGGAAGGAAGTTGGATCACATAATGACTAATAAAGTTTACCTTCAAGATTGTAAAATAAAAAATAACTTATGGATAATTTTCCATGAGATTCTTCCTCTACCATATGGATATATTCACAAGTGGCTTACGATTTTCTTTGCATCAACAAAATATATATTCTCTCAAATCTAATTAATGACACTTAAACATTTAATCATATTTGATTAGATATAATCACATTGGGACATTCTACATAAGAATTACGTATTAAAGTTTAAACCTTTGCAGGGTCTGCATATGAAAACGCATTGGGTTCAAGTAAGAGCGGATGAGGTATTTTGTTTTATTATTGCCAAATTAATGATAATTGACAATATTAAATTTGTATTTTTGTTGATAGGTAACCATAATTATTATACTTCTAAAGAATTACATGTCGAACTTTAATTTATCTCAAGATTTTGCATATCTAAAGGTGATGGTGCCCCGTTGCACTCAAATCTTGATCCGCCTTTTTAAATATGTATTAATAATAGTAAGTTACGTTGTGTGAAGAGATTATTTCCTGCCATTCTATCAACCAAAAGTCGTAGTGTACTATATCATTTTTAATTCTGGGCATTACATAAGTATATATATACCAAACGACAAAGATGAGATAATGAAGGTCCAAACTTAAAGAGATTATTTTGGTTTTGTCAAGAAAAGAGTGAACCGTTTTAGGAAATCAAAAGTCAAAACTATTTGGCCCACAATTAGGTTTAAAACAACCATAAACAGCATCACCTAATAATGTAATTTCACTGCATATCTCTTCCACGTGAAACACTACGATTGAAATTCATTCATCGAGTGACTACTTTCAATTTCCGGAAAGCGTCGGAACTTCTCAGATTCAGTCGTTTAGTGAATGCTTCAGCTTCCCATTCGTCCGGTACGGCCGGTAGCAGGATCCTTTCCTTTTGGACTCTGGTCACAAACTCCTAAAGCAATTCGGCTCTCCTTGTGCAATCCTGAATATGTCGGTCTTTCGGGTTCCTGACCCCAGCATGAGCCTTAATGAAAGTGTTCGCGAAAATCTCGAAGGAGTCTATGGAATTCTCGGGCAAAAGCGAATATCATGTCAGGGCTCCCTTCGTAAGGGTCTCCACAAATTTCTTCAGTAAGACTGACTCCATCTCGCGGGCAGCTAAATCGTTCCCCTTCACCGTCGTTGTATATGTGGTGATCTGCTCCTGAGGATCTGAAGTCCCATCATACTTTGGCATATCTGGCATTTTGAACCGCTTCGCGATCAACTCTGCTGTCGTGCTTGGTTTGAACGGCAACAGAGTATACTTCTTTGAATCTGGGGTCCTTTCAACACTGGTGGTGCCGGATCCTCTACCGTTCCCCCCATCCCCATCGAAGCCGACCTCGCCCCTTGAGAAGTTGTTGTCGACCCTGTGCGTTGTTTTGTTTGCGGGAACACCAGGAGGAACTGGACCTCGTCCATTCGCGTTGTTGGAAGCTCCTGACAACGGTTGCTTCAACTCTGTCATGACCTGACCCTATCGTGTGAGATGGCCTATAGTAGCCTTTTGTCGCTCTCTCAAGATCCTTACTGTTTCAACGACATGCTCGTCTTCAGCATCATTAAGAGTCGCCTCTCGAACATGTCGCGGATGTTGCCCGCTGTGGACCGGCATGGCCCTGTCCCCCTCATTGCATGTATCACTGATTGAATCTTTGTGCTTATGCTGATTTCCTTGGGCCTCAACTTATGTGCGATGTCGACACCGTTATCTGCCATTTTTTATGACTTTTGCTATGAACAAGTAATCAAACGAGTTAGTAATAGATGCCCGAATCAACTCAATGACACAACTATCTAAGCCCCACGGTGGGCGATAAATTATTTACTCGTAAAACAGTACAGAATAATTTATACATGGTTTATAACACAAGTAAATCAATTTGATCCCAAAATGATAAATAAATTAGATAAAAATACAAGACTTAGCCTTGAAGTTGAGATAAAACAGCAGAAATCGTGGTTCCAGGAGCAGAGGCAATAATATAAATAAGCTGTCACGACCAAAAATTCTAACCTGTCGTGATGACGCCTAATGCGGTAATAGGCAAGCCGACATATCAAAATATTCCAAACATTAAACAGAAAATGAGTAAGTTATGATCCGCCTTTATAAAGATGTATTAACAATAGTAAGTTACGATGTGTGAAGAGATTATTTCCTGCCATTCTATCAACCAAACGTCGTAGTGTACTATATCATTTTTAATTCTGGGTATTATATAAGTATATATTTACCAAACGACAAAAATGAGATAATGAGGGTCCAAACCTAAGAGATTATTATGGGTTTGTCCATTTCCTATTGTCTCCATTTCTCCAAGTTCTTACTTGGATGGATAACACATGTCTTATCTTTAAATCAATGGTTTAAATTTAATTGCCTAAATATTTACTTAACCATGGTTAGGATAATAATATTTTCATTATTTTTTTCTGAACTTTTGATATTCTTTCCAATTTTGTTCTTCTTTTTTCCTTTTTAAATAGAACAACACTTACAACAGAAATACAACGTATGAATATTAAGATACCTCAAACGTATTATGCCAAAAAGTATTTTTACCAAATAATGAAGTGAAATATTTTTGAAAATAAATAAAAGAAAGTAATTCCATTTCATATTATATCTTATAATCCCTCTCCATTTTTTATTGAAAAACAATGAATCTGCCTATAAACTATAGATAATGGCTTTACATAATTATGAGACTTGATGGTCTTTAAACAACAATTTAGGTATATGTAAACGTTTGTAGTAAATTATTACAAATACGTTCAGTTTGTCTATTGAAACAAATAACTCAGCATTATTGGATCAAAAAGTCTAAGATGTTGGAGTTGTTTTCTCACTTTTACTTTGAAGAAAGAAATACCTAGGAATCGAAATATTGAAATAAGTTAACATACCAAAGTATGAAAGAAGAAAATCACTAACGTAAACGAGATTGGAAAAAAAGTTTTTAACATAAACTAAATGAATGAATTTCGAAAACTTGTGGAAATTCTAGATTTCAAAAACTAATATTATTTTTACGTGCTCCCTTTTACATTCAAAAAGGGTTTAAAGCAAATAAAAATGCATTAATTGATGAGTATTCAGAATTTTGCTCCTACAATTATGGGAATATCAAATCTTTTAGTTATGGGATTGTCAAATTTTTTAGGAGTAGATATATAAAGATATCTATTATTTTAAGTGTGACTAAAACCTTGTGTGAAGTAATTAACTTTAGACCATTGATATAAAGATAAGACATGTGTCATCCATCCAAGTAAAAAGTTGGAAAAATGGAGATAATAGGAAATGGAGGGGAGTTGGATCCTGAAAAGAGTGAACTGTTTTAGGCAGTCAATAGTCTAAACTCTTTGGCCCACAATTAGGTTTACAACAACCATAAACAGCAGCACCCAATAATGTAATTTCATTTCACTGCTTATCTCTTCCACGTGAAACACTACGATTGAAATTGATTCTTCGAGCTAGTGACTACTTCCCGCCACATCCTCTATATATATACCTCCTATGAACGCAATATCCAACATCAAATATCAATAGCAAAGACAAACATCATAAGCAAAAAGTAAATGGCTTCTTCTGATCTTTCAAAGCTTCCTTTAAAAGAAATCCCAGGGGATTATGGCTTCCCCTTCTTCGGGGCAATAAAAGATCGCTATGACTTCCATTACAACCAAGGTGCTGATGATTTTTTCAGGACTCGCATGAAAAATTACCAATCTACTGTCTTTAGAACTAACGTCCCTCCTGGCCCTTTCAATGCTCCTAACTCCAAAGTCATCGTCCTTGTCGATGCTGTTAGTTATCCCATCCTTTTTGACAACGCCAAAGTTGATAAAGAAAACTATTTTGAAGGCACTTTCATGTCTTCCACTGCTTTCAATGGTGGTTACAAGGTTTGTGGTTTTCTTGGTACTACTGATCCTAAACACTCCACACTTAAAGGCCTTTTCTTGTCCACACTTGCTAAGTTGCATGACAAATTCATCCCCATCTTTATTAGCTCAATCTCTGAGCTATTTACCAGCCTTGAAAAAGAATTATCCGATAAAGGATCCTCATACTTGAACCCCCTCAGTGATAACCTTTCCTTTGAATTCCTCTTCCGTTTGTTCTGTGACGGAAGAAGTCCAACTGATACAAGTCTTGGCACTGGCGGGCCAAAAGCTGTTGACAAATGGGTCTTCTTTCAGTTGGCTCCATTGATATCTCTAGGCATCAAGTTTGTACCAAACTTCCTTGAAGATTTGGTTTTGCATACTTTCCCCTTACCATATTTCCCAGTGAAATCTGACCACCAGAAACTATATAATGCTTTTTATAACAACATGGGGTCTATTTTGGATGAAGCTGAGAAGCTTGGAGTGAAAAGGGATGAAGCTTGCCATAACTTTGTTTTCCTAGCAGGGTTCAATTCATATGGTGGCATGAAAGTGTTCTTCCCAGCTTTGATTAAGTGGGTTGGAAGTGCAGGACTAAGTCTACACAGTAGGCTCGCGAATGAAGTCAGGACTACCGTCAAAACAGAAGGAGGGGTCACTTTTGCAGCACTGGAGAAGATGACACTGGTTAAGTCAGTGGTGTATGAGACCTTACGAATGGATCCTCCAGTTCCATTTCAAACTGTAAAGGCCAGAAAAGATATAGTCATCACTAGCCATGATGCATCATTCTTGGTAAAAAAAGATGAATTAATATTTGGGTATCAGCCACTGGCAACAAGGGACCCCAAAGTATTTAAGAATCCAGAGGAGTTTAATGCAGATAGATTTGTGGGGGATGGAGAGAAATTGCTTAAGTATGTGTACTGGTCAAATGGTAAGGAGACAGATGATCCAACTGTGAATGATAAACAGTGTCCTGGTAAAGATCTTATAGTGCTCTTGGGCAGGATATTCTTGGTGGAGTTTTTCCTGCGTTATGATACTTTTGAAATTGAGTTTGGAAAGCTCCTGCTTGGTTCTAAGGTGACTTTCAAGTCAGTAACCAAGGCAACATCTTAAGTATTGAAATGGATGGCGAGAAAACGTAGTATATTTGCAATAAAGAAGGACCTCCTTGCGAGAATACAATCTACAGGAAGTTCCTAGATTTCCATTAAAACTTGTAATTTTCTGTTTCAAATCGTAAAAGACTGCATGGAGAATTGTTCTTCAAGCATTCATTGTGAATTTTTAATACTGCTGATCTGCTGTTCAATCTGTTGAATTGTGAAGTTCTAGAATTTATTTTTGTTTCCTGACAAATCTTTTGCTTGCTGCTTTCCTTGTCCCTTCGATGTGTTTCTTCTATAATGGCTGCAGTTTTCCTGACCTACGTACCCAACTGGTTATCAATCTAAAAGGCTTCACACAAAAATTAGAGTATGAAGGAGTGCCTAAATATTGCAAGCACTGCAGGAAATTAGGACATTCTCTGATTAACTGCAGGGCAGTAGAGAAAATGAGAGTGAGTGAAGATAAAGAAGCTGAAAAGAAAGAAAATACTGTCACTGAGGGACAATCCGACAACGGCAAAATTGTGGGAACGGAGGAATAGGGGGAAAGTAGTGCTCGGCAAAACTCTACTATAAAACAAACTACCAACCACAACACTAATGACCAGCAAGTCATCACTTTACAATTAGATGTTACAAACAGGACACATGGGAACAACAGGAACAAGGAAAATAAAGAGAATCACAAGAGCAGGATCACCACTGATCTCAAGCCTAAAGAAAAGTCTAAACAGGTTGAAGAGAAGCAGCAGCATACAACTGATCTACATGAGGAAAAGGAGAAAGAAGGACAAGAACAAGGCAAGGATAATAAGAAAAGAACGAAGAAAGGCAAAAGGGGAAAAGTCAATACCTATCTTAAAGTTATGAGCAGGAGGTGGACAAAACAAAAAGCCAAGGAGATCACTGAAGAGCACATACAAGAGATGACTAGAAATGAGAATAGCACTAATCACAAAGAGAAGGAATCAAGGAATAGTTTGACTGAAAATTTCAGCACGTACAGTGAACTTATACCCACAGACACAGAGAAAACTGACTCTACAGAAAAGGAAGGACAAGAAGATAATACAATGGACATGACAAAAAAGATAACACATACAAGTGTGACAAATATACAAGATTCTGGGCAGCTAATAGTAGACTTGGGACCTTTAATAGTCATCAAGCGTACATCACACATCAACAAGAAAGGACCTGACATAGAGCAAACACAATTAGAGGAAGAAGAGAAAGAAATAACTGAACAAAATGAGGCACATGCCGATAACAATTGAACTGAATCTGACGAGGAAATTGACCGCAGTGCAGCAACATTCATACCTAAAGAAAATACTTGCGACGATCCAGTTACACAAGAAATCGAAAAGGTGATAGAAAAGCAAGGTCTCTCGCCAAGAGGGGTGAGACACGAAAGAGGAAAGAAAGGAGGAAAATCAGACAATCTTGTTTAACCAAAAAATGGAATTTTAGTCAAAGCTAGAATTTAGAAGAATACGGGTTACTGATAATCAGAAAAGTATATAGAGAAAGAGATTTGTGAATAATATGATCAGAGAGCAAGTAAATCAAAGTATATTTCAATAGTGTTTCGTGTGTTTATAATTGTTTGTTCCTTCCCCTTTTATAGCTATTTTGGGGATACGAAGTCTTATCTTTGTCATAATAAGGCTATTATGGGCAATTGATGACTTTAAATGTTACGTTATGCAATCATATACATTAAGTACATATTCTCTAACGTTTCCAGTATTTAATACTCATTAAATGCTGTATATGGCTCTTTTTTGCTGTCAGATTCATTCCTTTGATTCTTCACGATCTTTGAGTTTTAAATGTCTTGAATAGGTACGAGAGTTGAATTGCTTGTATGACTGCTCGCGCCTCTTTCATTTAACTTGCTCGTATCTGTTGTTGCTCGTACCTCTTAACTAACCTTAATTCTTTGACTGTTTGATCAGTCTACGTGTCATGACACGTCATCTCCAATATACAAACTAAATTTTTCCCAATACAGATAGTCCCCCCACTTTTCATTTATTCATCAGTTTGAATATTTGGGAAGTGGATTTCATTAAAGGAGAATTTTTGTCACCATTAATGCTCTGACAGAGTTGACGCCTCACTTATTACTTCCATTTAATGCGCCAGACACGTGTCATCTTCTTATTGGTCCTACAATTGTGCAGCACTTTCTTAGGCTTTCTTTTCGGCTTCCCTGTTCATGAAGTGTTAGTTATCATTATTATGGACTTTCCATCACTGTATTCTTTCCTTCTGACGGTTGTTCACTAGTATAAATATTATTTCCATCCTTGTCTTTTACCACTTAAAGCGTTTTGAACACTTTAATACTTCAAATCTTTTATTCACTTCTTCTTCACTTCAATCTTCTTCGTCACGGCTTCTTCGAACCCTAATCCTAGGAGAGTTCCTATTTTAGATAATTTTCCCAATGCCCCTGTTAGACATAGAAGGGGTGGTAGACTTTGTAGCTTAGGATCTTCTCGTGGTGGTGGTTCTGCCATGCCTTCTCCTAGCCCTGGTTCTTCCTCTAGAACTAGAGGTTCTTTTACCCAAAAATCATCTTCTAAGGGCAAGGAACCCTCTGAACCATTACAGGAACCTTTGGTAGAAGAGATAGTCCCTAACGATTTATCTTTTCACCATGATAGACAATCACTTCAAAGCCAAGTTTCTGGTCTGGATCGTGCCGACGCTTACCCCACTTTAATTACAGAGATTTTAGCTCCCATAGTCCGCAAAGATTACCACTGGAGTAACGATTTTCCCATTGTAATCCCCAATCCAAATCAAAGAATTACTTCCTATATGACTGGACTCTCTTTTGTTTACACATACCCTTTTACTCTTGGTTTTAAACCTGCTATTGATCCAGTGATTCTCGATTTCTGTTGTTTCTTCAAAGTCTGTTTAGCACAGACTGGCCCGCTGGTATGGAAGGCTGTTGCTTGTTTAAGACATCTGGCAAATTTGGCAGATGTTGATTTCACCTTCCCTCACCTAATTCATCTCTACACCCCTAGACTTTTTCGCAATGGCGTTTTTACCTTAGTGGCTAGGAGTAAGAGGGTTTTGGTAAGCCCAGAAGATGATAAGGATCGTGGCTGGTATGCCAATTTGTTGCTGCCCCCACAGTTGGTTTAGTGGGTGAAAGAAACGTTCCCTTTCCTGAGAAGTGGAACTTTGCATGTAAGTCTCTTACCCTTCTCGTACCTTTTTCTTTCGAGTTTATCAATTTCTTTAACTTTGTTTTCTCCTTTTTTTTAGCAACCATGGGAGTTGTGGAGAACGTTCCCAATTTTCGTGGTTGTGAGCACGTGATTTTTGCACTATATGAATTACTCCAAGAAATTCAAACAAAATGATTTCTTTCATCATTTCGTAATTTTGTGGATTTTTGTGACATTTTGTGTTAATTGTTTGCATTTTATTTGTGCATTTTAATCAATGAAAAAATATTTAAAAAAAACTATACTTGATATTTTCATTTAGGGTTTAATTTCATATTTTAGGATTAATGGAGTTACTTTATAAAGAAAAAAAAAACAAAAATAGTTCTTTTGCATTTATACTTGTAATTTGTCATAGTTTGCATTTAATTAGGATTTATGGTATTTGGAAATTGAGTAATATAATTTTAGAAGTTAATTTGGGTTGTTAGTTGTTAATTTGTCATTTAATAAAAATCAAAAAATATAAATAATGATTGAAAAATAAATACAAAATGAAAAGGAAAAGAAAGCAATTAATAAAAGAGAGTGGGATGTCCTAATGAAGACCCAAGATTGGGCCAATATCAAATTAATTCAAGCCCAATCCCTCAAACCCAGTTCGAATTGACCCCAGCCCAAAGGTTTTGATCTGGTCCAGCCCCCATATACAAAACGACGTTGTTTTGGATTAATGAAGGCCAATTAAATCTAAGCCACCCATTCACTTCAATCCAACGGCTCATAATCGACGTTGGTTTTCAATAAAATTGTCTGAAAATTAGAAACCCTAAAGATCAAACCCTTTTCTTCCTCGTACCTGTTGTCCCCGCCGGCTCCGCCTTACGCTGCCGCCGGAAATCGCCTCACGGCGGCGGTCGGCGTCCAATGATGCCCAAACTAACACTGTAGAATCGCCTTCCTCCCCTCTTCCCAAGCCCCCAAGCCTTTGCCCTCGAATCCTAATCAAACGCCTCAAATAAGTTAAACCCTAGCGGCGCCGCCACCGTGCGCGGCGACGCCCGTGTCCAAATCCCACCAAATTAACACCCTAGGGTCGCCTTCCTTCCCTCATCTTAACTCTGTCGTCCTTATACCTCGAATGACAGTCAAGCTCCTTGAATGTTGAAACTGAAAAGTCCAATTCGAGACTCAAGTGTTTAGGCTTCTGCTCCGCTTTTCTTTGGAATGTTTGAATTCAAGCTCTTAGACTAGTAAGTTTCTTTATCTTTTGTTCATATTTGTTTTTTTTTACTATCGTTCGTCCTCATCTCTGTCTCCTTTCCTCTTTCTGAACTTCTTTTTGGTTTAAACTTGTTTCATTTTTGTTTAATCACTTAGCCTAATTAGGTCGCTTTAACATTTGAATTAGTTTCCTGCCTGTCTGTGTCTTTGAGTATTTCAGTTTGGATTTGGTTAAGTGTTGTTAGTTGATTTTTGCTGAGTGTCTGATTCTGCTCTGTTTATAATTCTGTTCGTTGTTTTTCTTTGGTTATTAAATATGATTAGTGAGCTTGTGTTAGTTTTTTTTCGTTGATAGTTTAATCTGGGTTAATATAATGTGAATCAGTTAATTCATGACCCCAAAATGTTATGTTAATTGTTGCTTGTTAATTTGGTTCAATTAATAGTTCAACAAGAGTTTAAATTAGGATTACTCTTCAACATTTGACAATTCAGAGCTTAGGAAACTGTTTGGTTATAGCTGTAATTTTAGTTTAAGTTCGGGGGTAGTTTAGATATTTAGAATCGCATAGGAATGTGATAGATGAAACTGGAATCTTCTAGGGCCTTCCAAAGTAGGACTTTAGTGTAACTTCAGTAATTTTAGTGTGTTAACTTGAGCAACAAGTCAGAAAATAGAGGGTTAAGAAGAAATAAGTGAAGGACTAATAGTGTAAATAGAAAATGGAAGGGTTGCTCTCATTTTGCCTATAAAAGGCAGTAGATACTGCCTTGTTTTACAAGTTTGGGAGCCCCAAAAAATTCCCCAAAAATATTCTCCAAGCTTCCTAGATCTGAAATTCAAATTTCAAACTCCTTTAGATCTTAGGCTTCTCAAATATTCAGAAAAACAACAAGAAAAAAATCAAAGACAAGTACTGTACATCGATTTCTCTAGGCTGATTTTTGAACTTTAATCACTGATTGTCACATTTTGGCACAACTACAATCATTGAAGTTTCAGAGTGTTTTGGATTCCAATTTAAATGAGTTGTTGGGAGAATTTGAGAATGGTTGGATAGATAAATTGTTGAAGATCGCACCTATGGAAGCTAGGTCTTGGAAATTTATTTCCAATCGTTACGGTTGGAAAGTAACGACTCATGGTAAGAGTTTTTGTCTTTCTCGTATCTAAAAAAAATTTCCTTTATTGTTTTAACTTTCATCCTTCTCTTTGTCAGGATTTGCTATTCGAGGTGTTACTGCTGAAACAGTTGCGGCCTCTCGTTCCTCTTCAGGAACTCAAATTTCCTTAGAAAGGGCTCAGGATATACTCTTGAATAGAAAAACCATTTAAGAGGATGATTCCGAGGAAGAAGATGAAGGTGGTTCCTTGATGACAAGGCCAAGAGTTAGGAGACGTATCGTCTCTGACGAAGCTGAAGTTTCTCCTCATCTTTCTCCTACCGGGCCTGTTCATCTCATCTCTGATGATGACGTTGTTACCCCTCGTGACACTCATGACTCTATTAACTAGCTTTTCGTTAGTGGTTTCGAGAGTGGTGAGTTAGGGCCTGTTTTGGATGAACTTCCCCTGTCTTCCTCTTCAACTCCCATATCTTCAATTCCTTCTTTTCCTTCTCCTGCCGTGCCTTTGGTCCCTTCTTTACCTGCTCCATCTGCTTCCGTACCTCCCTCTGCTATTTTTACTTCTTCTACTGCTCCTCCTTTGGTATTTCCTCCTTCTATTGTCCATCATGCAGAAGTGGGTTCTACGAGTAGAAGTGTTGCCATGAGGAGCGTGACTATTGAAGTTCCTGCTAACAACAGCCTTTTGAGGAAATCTGGTCAAGCAGATGTTTGACTTAAGCCTTTAATTG